AAGAGAAGAGAGATTGTGCAGGAACACTCCCATTTTTAAAACCATCAGATCCCGTGAGACTAATTGACTATCATGAGAACAGCATGGGCAAGACCCGCCCCCATGATTCAGTTACCTCCCGCCAGGTCCCTCCCACAAGTGGAATTCAAGATGTGAGATTTGGGTGGGGAACACAGCCAAACCATATCATCACACCACTAAAAAAAATAATTTGAGATGTATAATCAGTTCAAACAGCAAAGCTAAAACTATACGGCTTCTGAAAAAAGCACACAGGAAACCATCTCTAAAACACACAGGAAACCATCTCTATAGACTTGGGGTGGGCAAAGACTTCTTGAGCAGGACATAAAAAGCACTAACAATGAAAGAAAAAAGTGATAAACTGGACTTCATGAAACCTTAAAAATTCTGCTCATCAAAGGACACCATAAAGAAAGCAAAATGACACATGTACGGCTGGGCGCAGTGACTCACACCCATGATCCCAGCACTTTGGGAGGCTGAGGCAGACAAATAGCTTGAGTCTAGGAGTTTGAGACCATCCAGGTCAACATGGCAACTACAAAAATTAGCAGGGTGTGATGATGCATGCCTGTGGCCCCAGCTACTCAGGAGGGTGAGTTGGGAGATGGCTTCAGCCCAGAGGTCAAGGCTGCAATGAGCCAGATCGCACGACTGCACTCTAGCCTGGGCGACAGTGAGAGCCCATATCAAAAAAAAATTTTTAATTAAAAAAAAGACATGCCACAGACTAGGATAAAACGTTCACAATGTCTGCATTGGAAAAGGGCTTGTCAGTAGGTAGAGGAGACATAGATCACAAGAAAAAAGACCATGAATGCTGCAGCACTGGGCTAAGTGCCAGCAAGCAGGTTCTCACCACTAACGTGCCCCAGAGTGAATCCCGGGAAGCCTCACTGGGGGCCCTCCATCCACAGAGCTTCCTACCTGGGTGAGGCCACTCCTACTATGCTCGATCTTGGCCTTGTTTGCTGGCTGGAAAAGAACTTGCATCTTTGATGTTCAGCTCGTAAGCTGACTCCATAGGGTGATGCTGGTTTTCTCTTCCTCAGAGTAAACACAGCGTGTAAATACCCATGGAAACAAAAGGTAACCCTGCCTTCAACACAGGAGCCGGGTGGGGGGCATGGTGGGTTTTGGCCCAAATCCAAGCTGCCTACCGCCACACCCTGCTGGCCCTGTGAGCCAGGGGTGGCCCTGGCAGAGGGGGAGGCAAACGCTCCTGTTCTTGCTCAGATCCAAGCCCACTGCTTGCCCTGCTGGCCACAATTCTGGAAAAAATGGAGTGAACGATGGTGTCCACTCTCTCCTGCAGCCAAGGATATTCCAGATCTCAAGGCAATCTGAGGCCTGTGCAGATAGTCCTGAGTACCAGTGGACAGAGTGTCCTGGGCCTTCTGGGGTCACTGGGCTCAGGCACACAACGTTCAGTGCCGACCCTTCCCCGGCGTGGCCTTCGAGTGGTGACCTCCTTGCCTCTGTCTACTGTCAAATTTGGAAAAATTCCTCCACCTTGGCAAGTGCAGGCCCCATTGGTGTCCCAGGTGAAGCCAAGGACCAGGCACCGGAATTTACTTTCTAACATTAAGGCAGCTGCTTCTGTGTGGGGTCAGGGCTGACAGGATGGGACTCAGGCTACAGGGTGCAGAGATGGCAGAGGCCAGGGCAAGGCCATCACGCTGAATCCTTCCTGGCCGGCGTTAGCCTGGTCCTGTCCAGTGGGGCAGGACAGCCTTAAGGAAGAGCCTCAAGGAATCCAGTGGCCCTGGTGGCCACACTGACCCAGCCCCTCTGGCCTCTTCTGGCCATGCAGTGGCTGTGGGCAGCAGGGTCCAGAGTGCTCAGCGCCTGCAAGGCCACCACATGGTGATGCCTGGGCTCCAGGCAGGGATGCAGTAGAGCCCCAACAAGGTTGGACCTTTCTAGGCTGTGCCTGGTGCACAGCGGCCTCTCGGGGACACAGGAAGTTTCCAGCCCCAGGGGCTCACAGCTGGCCAGGGAAGGGGCCATCTCTGTGTGGCTGAGTCCCATCCCAGTTGGCCCGGCAGGAGGGTGGGATGCAGGCTGTGTTGGCCTTGGGGAGGCAGTGGCAGTAGCAGGCGCAGGACCCCACAGTGTGGCAGTGCCTCTGGGAAAGGCTCATCCTCATCACTCCATGTCAGGGAGTGGACAGGAACAAGGCTCTAAGCACAGTGGAGGGGGTGCCTGCCCCAGAAGGGATGGGGTGCTGGCTTCCTGGGAGACACAGGGTGGGGGTGACCATCATTCAATGCGGGGTGAGCCAGCAGCACTCAGGCATCTCCCATCAATGTGGATCAGAGGGCAAAGCTTCAAAGATGCATCGGGTCAGCCTGGCCTGCAGGGACCACTCCCTGTGGCAGGAAGATATTCAGGGCATAGTAAGCCACGCTGTAGAGGGCTGCCCAGGGCCTTGGAAAGGAGAAAGACCTGCCAGAGCCACCCTCTCCCCTGGGTCCCCTGGACAACCAGGCTGTTCAGTCCCTGCAGCCCCTCCTTCCCTGCTCCTCACAGTGACCAACCCCAGGTCCATCCCTTCTGAAGAGCCAGGACAGCTGCCTCATGGACTGCAGAGGACTTGGGGACTGGGTCAGAGTCCAGTCACCCTCAGAAGAGCAGAGAGACCTTAGGGAATACTGACTGGGAGACTTCTCATCTAGGATGAGGACATCACCACCTGCCCTGGAGGGCTGCAGCCAAGAGCAAGGAGAGGCTTGTAAACTGTAAAGTGCTGTACTCACGGGAGGAGCTAGAGGGCCCTGAGCTGCCTCTCTGGTGCCATTGGGTGGCTTTAGGCGATCTTCTATCGAGGTCTAATCCATGTGGGTAAACTAAGAGACAGAGAAGCAAAGAAATTAAATGAAGTGTTTGTGTGAGTTTCAGAGGAATTTCGATTCCAAAGGCAGTTTTTACAGACAGCTAAAGCGTCTCCTTGACAAAAATAAGTTTCTAACGAGGAAGTAACAGAGCAGCTGATGAAGCCCAGGTACTGTAAATCATTAGTAATGGCCGGCCTCCCGCCAGGGTGGCTGGAGGAACTCAAAGATGAGGAGACAGAGATAAGGAACAAAAATAGAAAATAGATCTCAAAAAACACAAACAGTTCTCACAAACACTGGAAAGCTGCTGATATGATTTTTCTTCTTTATATAAATGCTCAGGGATGGTCCGAGCATTAGAGGCCACTGAATGGTACCTTTAGGAATAGTGGAGACGGGAGGGAAACCTGCTTAATGAGAGACGAAGTCACCCCTGCTGTGGCTCCAGAGCTGGCAGGTTCAGGAGGAGGCAGATCGCAGAGATAGAAGGTGAGGGGCTCAGAACCCTAGGAGGAATGCTGAGTTTGTTTTTTTTAAGGCTGAGAAATGAGAAAGCAGAAGCTAAAGGCTAACCCCTAATCAGAACTCTTTGTCTGGCAGAAGTTCATGCATTTAGACTCATTGGGGTGGGGACTGGAGCTAGGCTGTGGGGAGGGTCATGGTGGGAAATAGAGGCTTTTTTTATATCTGGGTTCAGGGGTTCAGGGTGCCCTCAGCTCCCCTGAGAGGACGTTTCTCCAGGTTCCTGGCTTCCTGCCCTCTCAAGAATGAGAGGGGGGACCACGGCGCAGTGTGTAGTAAATGCCAGACTCAAAAGTGTTTGTAGAAAGTGAATTATTGAGAGAGAAACAGCTAACTCACACTGAGTGGGAGAATCCAGAAAGATGGAATCCAGGAGAGGAAAGCAGCTTCCACACTGAGTGGATGGGAATACAGAGATGGAGTTTAGGAGGGAAGACTGGCTTCCAGGAGAGCGTGTGGAAGGGGACCCCAGAGGGGAGATCCAGGAGAGAGAAAGACGGCTTCCATGAGGGGAGTGTTCGTGGAAAGGGACCCAAACATGGAGTCAGAAGGGGGTTGAAGAAGGGGACTGTTAACCTGGGAGGAACCCCCACCGTCTCTAAGACCCCAGGCCAATGAAAGGAGTTCCTTAGAACTTCTGCTGGGGTGACTGACTCTTAGTTTCTTCCCATGCCGGCGAAATTTAAACATAAATGGTTAAATCTCCTGGATGGAGAGAGGTGGGAAGGGGGCATGGCGCTGGGAAGTTCTTGCCCTTAAAACTACACCCCCTGTGGACCCCAAAAGAGAACACATTCCCTCACTTTGACCATAAATACGAACTATCACTCTGACACCCAGACCTGTGGCTGCTGCTACCACAAACAGCCCTTGCCAGAAGAGGCTGTCTTAGGCTATCACAAAATCCCATGGACTGGGTAGCTTGGAAACAACAGAATTGTATTTCTCATAGTTCCTAAGGCTGGGAAGTCCAAGATCAAGGCACCAGCAGATCTGGTATCTGCCGTCTGCCTGGTGTGCAGATGACACCTTCCTGCTACGTCCTCCCAGGGTGGGAGGGACAAGGCAGCTCTCTCTTTCATAAAGGCACCGATCTCCTTCATGGGGGCTCCACCTTCATGACCTAATCACCTCCTAAAAGGGCCCATTTCTTAATGCCATCACTTTAGGGGTTAGGGTTTCAACATATGAATTTGGGGCTGGTGGGTGACACACATGCAGACCATAGCAGAGGTTTTGGGGGCCCACTTTACGGAACAGAGAACAAGCCTTTGATTTGCACAATGTGGATATGCTACATCATCTAATAGTAATTTGCCTTCTCTGTAGATTGAGGTAAACTTCAGAAATAGCCCATTAGGTTTGGCAGGGCACTAGGCTAAATCATTAGGTTTTGTGCCAGGCTCTGAAGCTTCCTGTGGAACTGGCCCCTTACCACCCTGGCAACCCAGTGGCTTCAAATAACAGCTGGCGATTCCATGGGGCATCTCCAGTTTAAGCAGGAGGCCTGCAGAGTGTGGTCAGCAGCGATTGGTCACTGGGAAGACGCTTTTACTATTACAGTTTCACACAGTCTGAGGCCCTGGTTTGTTGCTTTCTTTTAGCCAAACAAACTTTAATCAATCACTTGCCTGCAAACATAGGGGCCTCCAAGCTGTGCTCAGATATGACCTCGGTGTGATGGTTTCTTCTAAGACCTGCAGAACACACAGCAAGAAGAAACCAGTGGGAAAAAGAATCAGCGTTAAATTAGAAGCACCTTGCACCATTTTCAACACATAATCTCTGTTTCGCAAACAATCTTAGTTTTTCACAGTAGTTCTGGTAGTTCAATTGACAGCTGGAGTAACTAGAAACAATTTTCAGGGGAAGACAAAACTGAAGAAATCAGTCAACAGGTCTCTTTTCCGTGGATGCTACTGGCAGGTGACCAAAGTTGACTGGTTAGATAATAAATAATGACAATTGCAGCCACAAAGGACTAGAAAAATTAATTGCGTTTCCTGAAATTGTACCACAAGTTGCCAAACTGAAGACACACGTTATGGTTCCGGTTTCCTTCTGCATTTAGTCACAGAGGTGGCCTCGTGCTTCTGGAACGGGCAGCCTGGGAAATGGCCACAGGTTCTGTTTGTGACGTTGGCCGTCATCCTCCACCAGCACTAAGTGGTCTGTACATCAGGAGGGAGAAGTGGCTCCTTTTTTAACACTAGTGGATTTACACAAAGACCATTCTCTTTGTTCTAAAACCCAAGCCTTAATTATCTCGGTGACTGGGGACTCGATGTAGAGCTGTAAACATCACACCTACAGTTTGGCTTAATGAAAATCATTTTCTTGCTATGAAGCCATCCATTCTTGGGCATGTGGGATGGACAATGGCAGCACTTCCAGCTCTGCCCCACACCGTCTTGGTGACAGACAAAGGGGAAGGAGCATCAGTGGGAAGCCCTCCGCCCTCGGCAGGGGCGTGCACCCCTCACCCAGTGTGGAGTGCCCTTGGTGGGGCAGGGAACACTGCCCAAAGTGGGGGAGTGACAGACAGGGGATGAAAGGCTTTGCATCATTGTGGGTTTACTCTGCCCAGAAAGCTTTGGGGGCACTTGAGGACTCACACTTAGGCAGAAGTCGATCCCGTGGTTGCTGTGACGGAGAGGAGATCCTAGCCATTGCTTTTTCTCCTAGAACTTTTCTAATCAGAATGGATCTCGCTGTCAGGAGGCCAGAGGCCATCAGAAGTGAGCTATGGCCAGGGCGATTTCCTGGACATGCAGACCAGGGGAGCTAAGTGCTCTCAGACTTTTTTTTTCCTTTCCTTTTTTTTTGGTCTAACAAGAATCAATATTTAAGATTATGCAATGTCTGTACCAGCCTGAAGTAGCTGCCAACCGAAGGACAAGGGCTGGATAATTTACAATGCAAGGGATCCATTCTTTTGAGAGGGGGAAGGGAAAAAATAAAGATTTAAGCTTCTTATCCTGGGCTGAACTTTTCTCCTCCATTCTTAATGGCACTGGGCGTAAATAAACCATCCATTCTGTTTTGTATGAGCGGTCTGTACTTTGCACAGATTCTGTGGAATCGACAGGCCAGTTTTAGATCCTTGACCACAGGTATGAGCGATGACTGCCTTGGAAATAACACCTATTTACATTTTTTTCAATATATGGTACTGTCATTTAGCCTGATCAAAATCTACCGTGATCTTCTTTTGCCCTAACAATCAGCAGAGAGAGCCTTTTTATTGTCGGCGACTAATGGTTTTCTGTCCCATATTTTTAATGTGAAGATTAAATATTTATAAATGCCTCGTCAATAGCATCCCATAACCAGGTCCTCCCGAAGCCGCAGACCGTGGTCCATGCTCACTCACATGAAGTCAGAGGTCACAGGTCAAGTGAGCAGCTCGCAGCGGCTGTGGGGTGCATCTGCTGTCACCAGGATCTGGACAATTATTTGCAGGGCAGGGCTTGTTTCTCAAAAAGCCCACATCATGGCCAGGAGATGCCTCCTTTGTCACCAAAAAGCCCCTTCAGGCGAGGTGCTTACTGAAATCACAGGCTCCTGCCCCTGCCTGGTGACCTTCCCAACACTGTCCAATTTGAGGTGTCTCCAGGAGGAAGCTCCCCTCTTACCCACCCCTCAGAAGAGAAGGACATTGGTGTGATACTTTCCAGGCCCTGAGGGACAGGGCCATGTGGATGGGATGGGGAGAAGGGAGTGGGATGTGCAGGGCACCTGTCACTCCTGCTTGGGATGCAGCTTGGTTGGAAGCCCATGGTGGATTTTAAACAGCAAGCATGCACCCTCTGTGCTGCTGGAGACCCATGTGGGCATGGGTTTCCGAGGGTGGGACTGCAGATGGTCAGCTCCGGAAGGAGGGGGCAGGGTCCTGATGGGAGACATGTCATGAATCAGGGCGGTGGCAGCGCAGAGAGGAGGCTTCAGTGGGGGTTGAGGGTTTAGCTGACAAACAGAGGCTGTAGAAAGGGGTTTAGCCGCCCCAGGAGAGATGGTGGAGAAGCCTGGGCCAGCTGCTGGAGCGCTGCAGCTCTGCCATGCGGACATTCCACAGCCCTTCCAAGGGCAGCGCCCGCTACTCAGCTGAGTAAGCCGTCTTAGCCCGGAGACAGACAGTCCCATGAGGGAGCCCTGGGAAGGGGCAAGCCAGGAGCACTTGGCAATTTTGGTCAAGCCACACACTCGCTCTGGGGCTCAGTATCGCCTCCAGAAAGGTGGGGGCAGGCAGACTTACTTATTTTCCTTAGAGGGCTCTTAACAATACCAAGGAGGATGCTGGGTCCCAGGGGCTGGGGAACGAAGGGGTCAAGCCTGGGTGCGCCCCAGTGCTGGACACAAAGGGCTTGGGGAAAGGACGTCAGCAGGGTCTATGCACCAAACCTATCCAAACCCTGTTAAAAACAGGGGGACACTTTCTGAAGACTTGAAGGAAAGAGAGCGAGGACAGACATCTGTCTCAGCCTCCCACCCTCAATGCCCTCCCCTGTTGGGGCAAATGGCAGAGGGAAAAAGGAAACCGGTCCGCTTTCCCGGCAGTGCGCCCTTGAGGGGCAGGGACTGCTGGCAGGCTGAGCATCACCTCGACTGTGGCCCTGTCCAACCCCTGACTCCAGAAGACAGAGCCAGGCTGACACAGGAGGCCACCCAGCCAGGAGTGAGCTCTGCCCTGCTCAGCCCCTGCTGCTCTGTGGGCCCAGAGGCCCCCTGTCCTCTACAGCGGGGAGGCCACCATCGGCTCTGCCCATGTCTTGGGATTACTGTGAGCTTCCATAAACTGAACAGCATTCACACAGGCACGAGTTTCGCAAACTGTCGAGTGCTGTCCCAGTATAACACCTACCCTGGTGTTCGGCATGAACTCGGGGATGCTCCTTCAGGCTCCTGTCACCCTCCTTCCTCAAAACAAGTCAAAAAATATCTAGAGTAAGACTGGCATAAACGTCTAAAACCAAAACCAGTTCTGCAATGGCGGGACCCATTCATGACCCCTCCCTTCCCCCTGCCTCTCCCCACCCAGCTCTACCCCCTGCCCCACCAGACTACAAACTCCTAGAAGGCAGGGCTGCTTCCTGGGGCCTCCTGCCTGGGAGCCCGTCCAAGAGGGAAGGGAATGGATATGCAGCCCTGGACTGTAAATCTCAGTGTCTGGAAGGCACTCTTCCAAGACAGGAATGCGAGACGGCTAAAGCACCCTGCTTAATAGTGATGCATTGATAAAGTGATATTGATCATTATTGAGACTGGTCGGCCATCCATGGGGAGACACAAAACCAGCAGGGCAGCCTGGGTGAGCAGGCCCCTCTGTGGGCCGACCCTGGGGACGGCCAGCCTCGTAACTGCCGCGATGATGATGAACGCGTATTGATTTCTTTAGTGCCTCTCCTCAGCCCCAGAGCACTTCATGCACTTATTGGAAAGTGCCTGAAACCAAATTGAAGACAGGCCCAACGAGGAGTATCAATCCAAACGTTAAGGGCATCGGAGGGCTCTGGAGCCAATGGGGAGAGACAACAGGTCTTCAGCAGCCCCGGCTCCAAACACTTAGGGAAGTGCCGTGCCCCACTTCGTTCAACAGCAGCCTCCGCCTTGCCAGGAAAGCAGAAATGAAGAGGTGAGTGTCTACACACGGATGGCGGACGCACGGCTTCCAGGGAAGGAGCTCGTGCGGTCTGCAGATCCGTGGACATCCCTGCATGTGGTCCCCCCCATCCAGTGCACACATGATCGCAGCGGGCATGCCAGGGACCATCTGCAGCTGCTTCCCCTCCCCCGTCTTGGGTCTTGGGTCAGCTCTGCAGCCACTCGCCCAGGCCCAGGCCCTGAGTCCCCTGTGGAGGGGCTGCTCCGTGGCGCGGCCATCTGAAACTCCACAGGCCTCAGGGACCCACAGGGTAGCTTGCCAGGGAGCACTTCAGATGTCCAGGCCCCAGGAAACATAACCATTTAGTAAAATTAAAACCATTGAGTCTTATTTGGAAATAATTCCAAGCTTATAGGAACATTGCAAGAATAAAAACAGTACTGCAAACACCCATCGACCCTGTACCCAGATTTGTTAATAATACCATGAATGGTGTCATCGTGGACTTCTCTGCCTATGTCTGTGTATTTTCTGAGCCACTGTGGGGGGAGGTGAACACACTGTGGCTTGTCATCCCCATATACTTTCTGAGGGTAAAGCGTCATGGACACAGCCTCGTGCGGTTACCAGCTCTGGAGGTGTAACGCAGACTCAGTGCTCTGTCATTCACATTCCTGTTTTGTCAATTAACCCAGTGACATCCCTCCTCACCATTTGTCCCTTCTAATCTGGGGTTCAGTCCACTGCAGTTAATTGCCATGCCTCTTGTGTGTTCCTTCATCTGGAACATCCTCACAACATTTTGTCTTGTCTGATATCCACGTTTTTGGAGAAACACTCAGGCTTTGATGGCAGCTTGCACACTGTGGCGGCTGGGCTGCAGGAAGCTGCCTCCGACTCCCAGGGACACAGGGACCAGCCCCAGCCCCGGCCCTCCAGCCACGGCTGCATCACGCCCCTAATCGGTGGGCTGCAGGGGTCAGCCTGTGGCTGCACGTTTGAGGTGCCCCAGAGCGGGCCTGGGGAAGGAGCAGAGGCAGCATGCCTCTCCGGAGTGGGCTTTTTCTGGTCATGACTGTGACTCACACGCTCGTGATGCAGGCAGCCCCTGCTCTGGGTGAGTAGGGTCCGTGGGGCTCAGGGACCACAAAAGCCTACACCACAGCTCGCCCACAGCTGTGAAGACCAACTCCTGGCTCCGAGGTGCCAACAACATGTTTGAGTGGGTGCGAGGGTGCTGGGCCCTGGGCCGATCTGGTGAAGACTGGCATTCCAAGTGAGGTTAAAGGCGATTTGAAGAAAGAGGAGCTGAGGGAATGAAAGAATCATCCATCCATCAGAAAGCCTTGTGCGTCTCATCCCGCTTTGGGGCGCAGTCCCCTGCAGAGCCCTGGGTGCTGTGTGGGAGAGGCGGGCTGCAGGCCAGTGCTGCCTCCTTGCCTCTCTCCCACCTTTGGAAACACCCAGGGCCCTGTGCTGGCAAGGTGCCCACCTCCTGAAGGGAGCAAGACCAGGACCCCCCCAGGAACACACTAAGCCGGTGGGCACTGCAGGAGTGCCAGGATGGGGTGTGGACCACCCCAGGGACTGATACAGAGCCTGGAGATGGCAGCCTCCCCAGCTGGTTCCAGCAGCCCAGGCCACCTGGGGCTACACAGCAGCCAGGAGGATGGCCTCGAGGCCTAAGGAGCCTGGGACACTCCAAATGGCCTCCCTCCTCAGGCTCTGCTGCCCACTCTAGGACAGATCCCAAGAAAGACTGCTATGATTAGGTTTCCAAGAGCTCCCTTAAGAAGAGAGGAGGGAGAAAGCAGGGAGGAGAAAGGGAGGTAGGTGCTTGGAAATGGGAGAGAGTGAGGTCAGCGGTGGGAGTGAGACAGTGGAGGCAGTGATGGTGGGACACCCTTGTTCGATGCCTGCTGATCCCCAGGAACCCTGGTCCAGGGGCAGCTGCTCTGTGTAAGACAAGCACATGCCTTACTCCTCAAAATGACTCCACCTTGTGGTGGCACCAAGGCACGAAATCCCAAGGGAAAAGGCATTGGCAGTTCCCTTGGAGAATTATATGTTAAAATTTTATGCCACTCTGAGCCTTGTACAGGAGAGAGGGCATCCTTTAGAAGCGACATCCCTTGTGAGCACTCTGTGTCGTGGAGCCAGAGAAGGTGAAGCTGTGGCTACAAAGAATAGGGACACCGAGGTTCAAGCCAGACCCAGAAAGAGTCACGAAGTTAATCAACATCTGGTGTGGTAGACGGCATACTAAGATTATCTCGAAAAGTCTTCTCATACTCCCTTTGCAGGTGACTTTGCCATAACCATCGTGGAGACTACGTCCCCTTCCTTTGGAGGTGTCTACCCTGCAGCTTGCTTTGAACAATGGTAGGACCTGGCAGAAGTGAAGCTGTGTGAGCTCAGGGGCCCAGCTCCAGACAACACACCCCGTCTCCACCCTCCCGATGCACAACTCTGAGGCCAGCACGTGAGGAAGCCTCCCGGGCAATGGAAACCATACAGGAGGGAACTGCGGGGCCCCCATGGACAGCAAGCAGCACCTGGACAGGTGAGCTAGGCCATCCCAGACCCTCCCACCCAGCAAACCCTCCAGCTGAAGGCACCACATGAGTAAGGAGCTGCCCAGCCAACCACAGAAGTGGAATAAATAGCAAAGCATCGCCATTTACGCACCATGGTGGTTTGTTAGGTAGTAACATCACTGAAATGGAAGTGGGGTGCTGCTGTAACACGAACCTCAAACTCTGGCCTTGTTTTTGAAGCGGGCAGCAGGTGGAGGCTGGAAAGGTGCTGAGGATGTGCTGGAAGAGCAACCTGAACGAAGCAGGGACAGAGCAACCAGCAGGACTCGCCAGCGGTAACCTGGAAAACAGAACATGTACCCAAAGAATGTGTAAATGTGGATGAAAACATCTCTAAGTAGAGTATTGAAAGTGCCAATTAGGAAAAGATACAGGAAGAGACAGATGGGCTAAAAACCAAAATAAGCTAAAACTCCATTCAGTTTGCAAGCAGGATTCAGAGGGAACAGAAAAGCATCAGGACCAGCTGGCTGACAAATAAAAGTATTTCTCATTTTTGGTTTTAACAGTCAGTAAAATATCCCTAATAGAAGAAAAGGCCTCAGAGTAAGGACTGATTTGGGGGTCTGCTCATGGGATCCTTTGCTGAGGCTTCAGAAAGACCAAAGCTAGTGCCTCAGGGACCCTCTCAATAAGGGGCAAGGGGCTTCTAAGAACCCATGGGGCACTGTCTCTTAGGAGTCTGACATATTCAAAGTGAAGAGGGGTCTTGTCTTGAAAAGAATTATGATCATTTTTGGGGGCCCTAGAGAAACCTCAAGCCCCAATAAGATTCATAGGAGACTCTTAAAAGTTTTGAGAAAAATGTATTAATAAGAGCACCACCAGCTTTCACTAAAAGGGGCTGAAATCATTCAAAATTGAAAGACACTTCTGAGCCTCCAGCTTCCTAAGGGCTTGAAACAGAGAGAGATGCTCATCTTCAAACATGGGCCATTTCTGATAGAAAAGAAAGGACCCTTGGATAACAGAACAAGAGAATAATGGAGAGAAAAAGGACTAGGAAGCCCTTCCTGAGAGCAGAACTGTGCCTTAATCAAGGAATATCTTCTTCCTCTAGAGTAGGGGGATCTGACTACCTGGGCCCATCTGGAGCTTGGAACCAGTGACCTCCACTGTGCCTCATGTTCTTCCCTTTTCAGATGGAGGTGACTGTTGTGGTCATCCTGGCCCTGGATCAAGAAACCATGTGTACATGTCCAGATGGACGTGATGTCGATCATGGCACCACGGGCTTGGAGCCAAATCCCCTACCTGGGATAGGACTTTTAGTCACACTGGGATGGAGGAAGGAACATGGTGTATGTTGGAGAAAAGAAACAATTTGTGGCCAGATTGTGGAACGTGATCAATTGTTTCATGGCCACAGATTCTTCCTTTGAAAAAGGCATGACGCTTTGCAGTGAAACTTTGCCACGTCTCCCATACATTTCTCAGCTCTATTACCTGATGGGGGCCTTGTGACTTTGCCTGGGTCAACAACAGAATGTGGCAGAAGTGATGCTGTGTGCGTTCAGAGCCTGGGCCTCAGCTGGCCTTGGAACTCCTTTGCCCTTTTGGATTCTTTCTTGAGACTGCCATGTAAGAAAGACCATCTAACCCACGAGAGGATGACAGGCTACAAGAAGAAGTGAAAAGGGCTAAACCTGTGAGTGGGACCAACCTGGACAGTCCAGCCCTGTGGACCTTCCCACAGAGTGGGCCCACCCATGCAGGTGAGCCCAGAGGAAACCAGCAGAAGAGATGCACAGTCCACCTATGGAAGTGTGAGAAGTAACAAATCATTGTTGCTTGAAGCCATTACATTTTAGGGTAATTGGTTATGTAGTAATAGAAAACCATAATGTCTACTCAGCACTTTGGGAGGCTGAGACAGGTGGATCACCTGAGGTCAGGAGTTCAAGACTAGCCTGCCAACATGGTGGAAAACCATCTCTACTAAAAATACAAGAATTAGCTGGGCGTGGTGGCGTGTGCCTGTAATCCCAGCTACTCGGGAGGCTGAGGCAGGAGAATCACTTGCACCTGGTAGGTGGGAGCCAGGGTGACAGAGCGAAACACCATCTCAAAACAAGAAGAAAGAAAAAGTATAATATCTAGCATGACTGATCCAGACCCAAACAAACAAAAAGGAAGGAAACGTGAAATGCTAATATCAGAATTTTTGTTTTTTTTAAGGAGAGATTTATAGATCCTAATGATACTAGAGGTGAGTAAAGGGATATCGTGAGCCTCATTATGCCACAAATTCAATAACAGAGAAAACCGATAAATCCCTGGAAATATAAAACATTATAATAGACACAATATAAATATTGTTACATATAAATAGAAAATGTGAGCAGCCCCCTATTTGTTGTTTAAATTGCATCTGTAATTAAAAACCTCCCCAGGAGAAAACTCCAGGCGCTGAAGTCTTCACTGGTAAATTCTACCAAATATTTGAGAAATAACTAAGACCAATTTTACACAGATTCTTTCAGAGAAGAGAGGAAGAGGTGACAATTCTCAACACATTTTTATGAGTCCAGCATAAACCCACATCAAAGCTGGAGAATAATGAAAGGGGAAAAATTATAGCCCAATATCATTCTCGAACAGAAACAAAAATCCTTCACAAATCAAATCCAGTAATGCGTAAGAAATATAATACAACCATGATCAAATGAGTTTACTCCAGGAATTCAAGATTATTTTAAAATCTAAAAATCAATTGTAAGTCACATTAGCAGAGTAAAGAGAAAAACCATGTCATCATCTCAAGAGCCGAGGAAAAAGCATTCAACTCATTCATGGTGAAATTCAACTCACTCATTTTGAAAACTCATGCATTTTAAAAACTCTCAGCAAATGAAGACTGGTAGAGAACTTCCTCAATGAACAAAAGGGCACCTATGAAAAACTCACAGCTAACATCATGCTTAATGGCAGGAGCCTGGATGATTCTCCCATAAGATGGGAACATGGCAAGAATGTCTATTCTTTCCACTCCTCCCAACGTTGACGGGAAACAGTGATTTTTAAGTTTGTGAGCTTCATGGACATAATTAAAAATTGAGTCGGTCATGAAAGAAAAGGAAAGTCTGAGAAATGGTCACAGATTGGAGGACACAAGGAGCTATGATGGCTAAATGTAATATAGTATCTTGGAATGGATCCTGGAACAGAAGACCAACGCTTGTGGAAAAACTGGTGCACTCCTAATAAAGTCTATAGTTCAGTTACCAGGGTTTAATTGTCGTTAAGTTCTTAGTTTTGATGATTCTACTATGGTTACATAAGAGGCTGATGTTATGGGGGTCAAGCTGGGTCAAGGCATATGGAAATCTACTGTACTATCTTTGCAGTTCTTTTTTTTACATCTAAAATTATGTCAGAATAAAAAGTTTAAAAATGCAAAGACACAGGAGAGTCTTCTTGGCTATGACAGAAGCAGGGCGATTCTGGAGGCAGCTGTGTGGCAGCCGCCCCACCTCCAGGCCAGCTCTGCTGTCCACATCTGGAAGTCGTTCCTGAGAGCTCAGGCTCTTAAACTTCTTTCCAAAGATCCTGAAGCTACTTAATACTCTATAATCAATCCCTTGCTGCTTAAAAAAGTCTCTACTAAGAAAATGAAAAGCCAGGGATTGGGAGAAAATATTCCTAACACGGAGAACTGACAGAGGGCTTGTTTCTCGAATATACAAAACTCCTACAATCTAACAAGGAGGTCACAGTACAGAAATGAGAAGGTGGAGGCTGGGCACAGCGACACACATCTGTAATCCCAGCACTTTGGGAAGCCGAGGCGGGCGGATTGCCTGAGCTCAGGAGTTCTGGACCAGCCTGGACAACACGGCAAAACCCCTTTCTAAAAAAAAGAAATAAAAGAAATAAAAATGAGCAAGGGAGCAAACTAACAATCACCAAGAAGATGTGGGAACAGCCAGGAAGCACCTTGGCAGTGCTCCACGCCATCAGTCATCCAGGAAACGCAAAATGAAACCCCTGTAAGACTGTCCTCACGCCCGTTAGGGCTGAAACACAAAGGAATAGCAACCCCGAATGCTGCTAAGGATGAGGGGCAACGCGCCTCGCTGGTGGGTGTGTGAAGTGGCGCAGCCCCTTTGGAAACCCAAGAGTGTCTATAAAGGTAGATACACAGCTGCCCACCCATCGCATCCCATGCATGCCCCTGGGGGACAAAGTGCATGTCCACCAAGGGGCCTGAAAAAGAATGTCTACGACAGCTTGATTTATAAAAGCTCAAAGCTGGAAACAACCCAGCGTCCATCAGCAAAAGAATGAATGAAGAAAAGGTAGTATGTTCTTAAAATGGAACATTAATCAGCCATAAAAAAATGTATGGACTTTAAAAACAGACAAGACTGAATCTGAAGGCATTCTGTTGGACGAGGAAACCCGGGTCGACAGCACAGCGCAGGGTTCCACCTACCTGCAGCTCAAACACCGCACCCCCCGGCTCCAGCACCTTCTCATCTTCCTCATCTGAGATGCTGTCCCCATTACGCCCTACTTCCTGCTTCCTTCTCCCCCATGCCCTGGCAACCACCCTTCCACTTTGTGTCTCCATGAATTTGACAGTCCTGTGTATCTCATTTAAGGATAGCCACACAATCTGTGTTCTTTTGCATCTGGCTTATTTCGCTGAGCCTAATGTCTTCAAGGTTCATACACGTTGTGGCAAATGTGTGCGTTTCCTTCGTTCCTAAGGGTGAATGTTCCACTGTGTGGGTGTGCCACATTGTTTATCTCTTCGTCTCTGGACATTCTGTGTTGTGTCCTCCTCCCAGCTGCTGTGAATGATGCTGCTATGAACATGTGAACATGGGTGTGTGAATACCTGTTTGAGGAAATATCTGTATCATGACTGGGGTGCTGGTTACACAAGGGGATACACCTTCTAACTCAGCAAAAGCTACACAGAAAACCTGCGTGTCCTGTGAATGGCCCCATTTCCCTCATGTCCACCAGGGCAGGCTTCAGGGGCGCCTTCCATTCTTCTGTGCCACCTCCCACTCCCCCTGCTGGCCTAGCCCTTGGGGACCTGGGAGAAGAGTTCCCTTCTGCCTCCCCTTCAGCCTTGGCGCAGACCTAGGCCGGCAGTCTCCCCATCCCTGCTCAAGCTGTTATGCAATTAAACCCCACACCCAGCTCGGGCCAGGAGACCTGTTCCCTGTGGGAATGGGCAAGACTTCCACGGAGACCCAGAGGGCTGCTCCTGCGCACTCCAAGTACTCCCAGATCCTGACTCCGGCTGAACCTCTGGAAGTGTCCTGT